CCATTTCTGTTTAATTTCATCACAGAGATAGTAATGGAATTGCCCCTAACTGACTTCAGGGATTGAGGGATTGAATTGTTACCATCACCGTCAGGGAATAATAGTCACGTTGAGTTATAATATGGAGATGATATAGTCCTGCTCCGATGTGAAGACGCTGACAAAATGCAGAGTGTTCTGAAGACCTTGAGCTGAGCAGAAATCTTCGAATGTTTGGCAGGCAGTCAGGCGATTCACTCCTGCTGTCAGATGTAAGTTGATGCCACAGGACTATGCTACGTCGATTCATTCCTAGCTGAGAGATAGGGAATGAAGTGGTGACTGAGCGTGTTGACCACTTCACTTATTTGGGAAGTTGTATCAGTCCAGGCAGTTTCATTGGGCTGATCGCTGACAAAATCTCAGAAAGGTTACGGATGGCGTGTTTGGTATGTGCCTGCCAACTCACGCGATCTCTGGTGTAGACGTGATATCTGGTTGGCTATTGATCAAAGGGTGTGTGTACGGCTCAGTCGTTCGCTCTGTCCACCTTTATGGCCGTGAGTGATGTTATGTACTGGTCGAGAAATCAATAGTCCTGACGCAAGAAAGACGGAAATCAGAAGACCACTAGGTTTTCGATGATACTTCTATTTCCCAAAACACCAGGAGAATCAATAATGTCACACAAGAGTGTGAGAGCAAAAATATGAGAATGTCCGAACAAGTGTGTGAGCGAATATTCAAAAATGAACAAATCAATAGACAGTCTTAACATGATTGGCTAATTATAATGGAATATCGATCCATATATACATAGCAAAATATATCAGACTGTCAAACAAACACACATTATATGGATATATATCAAGTGAGACATGGCCATTGAAAGTGGAAGACATAAAAATCCCAGATAGCTGTATATGATCATAGGTGTCTGCATCCTACGCCCCTTGTTAGGTGGTATAATAGGGTGTGGAATATTGAGATTGGGCTTCGGTCGATTTATAGGTAAGGAGGGGAAATCAATGGATGAGGCTGTGAAGTTACACCGATTGAGATGGTTGGGACATGTGTTACGTATGCTTAGGCATCACCTTCCTCGATAGGCAATATTGGCTGACATATGATGGATTAAGTTGGAAAAGAGCTAGTGGTGGTCAAACCAAAGCATGGCCTCATCAGACAATGAAACCCTAAACAGTTAAAGCCAGTCACTTAGTCAGGTGTAGACTTCCTGGTTGGGGTAGTCGGGATGGTTAAAACTAATGGCTGGAGACAATTGGTGATATAGCTCAAAATTGTTATCAATGACGCAGATGCAAAGTGAAGTATGCTCTGAAGACATTGTATAGTAGGCCAGTGAACGCTTCGCAAAATACCTTCCAGCTCAGAGAACACAACTACATCATAAAAGCAGATGCATTCACTGCTTTTGGCTTATAATATCCAAAATAATTGTATTATTCCTCTGTTACTATTCTTTTTGCCTCATATTTCTGCTTATTATATCTGTTTTGAATCTCTCCTTACTATCTTCTCTTGCTTTGTGTGCTACAATTAGTGTGACAACTCGAACTGCTGCACATCTGTGCAAAGTCTTACATTGAAACCAGTCAGTCAGTCCCTAGTACCACTGACTAATTTCACCCGTTAGTTTACAAAATTGTCACTGACCTATGAAACACGCCATCGTGCTTGCAGATTATGAATCAGTGATATATGGTTGTAAGTATAAAGCACCTTACTTAGCTTCATGCTTATTGGCATTCATTAAAAAGGTGTCTGAAACCGTAGTGAGCAAGCCTCAAATAGAATTCAGACAATACCATTAAGAGACATGACACTGGTTATTCCCCACTGAACAATCATTATAACCATTACAATCCGAATACCTCAGTGGCAACGCCTGTCGTTACAACATTGGGTGATGCGAATTTTGTTCCACATACGACATAAATTCCTTGCAGTTTGCATATACACCTTAGGTAATCACCTCAGTCGTAACTACATAGGCCGTTACAGGTACATGGGCCCCACTAAGTTCACTGTAGTGTAGAACATTTTTGAGGACCATGTTCTCTATAAGATTCAAATCTTCGCCTTTCATCAATTACAGCGTAACATATAGGTGGTGATCCTTCCTTGCTGTTAGCAACACTGTTGTAAAATATGATGTAAGTATGTGTGTAGATCATTACAAAGTGAAACAATGAAAACGGAACTTAATTCATGCTGTCTTTTTTCGTTTCTGAATTCTTCTAACTTCAGTTCAACATGGAGTCATCTTCTAACCGGTGCTCAATCTAATCGGGAGATACGACTTTGGTCATGTTTAGATTGGTCCTGTTTGCAAACTGTACGTTTTTGTCCCGGTGCGTTAAATACAGACCCACTAAAACAAGCAAATATGCCGCTGTTAAAACCTGGTTTACTACTGGCTCTAGACAGTACAGCATCGTTTCTTATTGCTGCAGATGTAACGAGAAGGGTAAGCATGAAGCTTTTTTTGCATTGATATCCGATGCGCGATAATTGTTAATCTTTATCAACCGTATACAGATACATACACGCACACGATTCTCTCCTCGTTATTAACTCTTTATTTTACTGTTTAGCAAATAACCTTGATGAATTTCGACTGAGTAACTACAAACAGTGTTACATGTATTTATTGAAATTAATTTTGATATATATATATATCACTATATTTACGTTTGTTTTTGTCAAAGTATTTTTAATGCATAGTGCTGTTGACGCTAACTGGCTGCTTGAACCTGGTAAAGCGATTAACTCATTGGTTACACGTCGACTACTTTTTTTCGAGACTTGCCATACTATGAAGTAGGAGACAAAAATGTGTATAAGGAGAGTGGTTTTGTAATCAAGCAAATCATCTTAGAATTATTCAGCTGACTATTTTGCACTATTAAAGGGTTTACTTCATTCAACCTTCATTGTTTAAAACGGTGTCAGTTAGACCATCACAAACTTCTATTGCATTTTCCTAGTTCATTTATACTTTACCCCTTGACAACTAATTTAGGTATTTGGAGCACTTCAAGAGGATATCCATGAGAAGAACAGTGTAAATTTTCCTACAGTCATATGTGATTTGTGGTTTAGGTTGTTGTTTTTATAATTTGGTTACACGGAACCGATCTTTCATCTACAACACTGTGAAGCCACACAGTTATTGTATAACAGATCATGATATCCGGTTGCCCAGACTGAAGAAGTATGCGAAACACGAGTCGGAGATCGACTACGTGAAAGCCAAGTGCTTTAGCCAATAAGTGTTGAGGATGCATTTGTGAAATGGTCTGAAGCATTTCACAAATCATTTTTTCCCATTTAACCCATTTATTTATGCACACAAACAGGTATTTCCACTGCAGTTGACGGAGACAACGCAAACTTCGCAATGTAAAAACAGCCACATGCGATAATACAACTATGTTAAAATCATCCGCCTGAGCCACAAATCTTCCTTATGATGTGAAAGTGGTATTTCACTTATCACCCATAACTGTTTCAAAACCTTGGTCTGAAACACTCCGCTACTTTTCCCACTCATCTTGATAAAATATTCGCCCAAATTCTATGGCCTATGGATATTTAAATACTCAAATACTTAAGAGTGTTAGGGTGGGTGGGGTGGGGGAGTAAAGTAGATTTACTTCCTTGTAAACGGATTCGTGGAACCGAATCATATACTTGACATTGCGATGAAACATAGACCTATGTACTAGGTGTAAGTTGAAGCTTACCCGATAAGTTAGCCGGTGGGGGTAACTTGATGACCCTTATTTCTGAGGCATGTCATACATACATGTCACTGTCAACTAAACTAGCACTTGTGAAGAATCTACTGGATGTATCGTATCATATATTGGTTGATTCTCGTTATCTGAGCATTAGTAGTGTAGTTAGATTTAAATTTAATTCAGAGTATGTGTGAACTAGTTGAAGTGTTAGAAGTGAGGCAGGTGGTCATAAAAGAAACCCAAACCTCTCTGAGAAGCAGCAGTATGGTAAGATAGCATAAATACAGACGGATTTGTTGAACGACTTGACGACTAATAGTTGTGTATGAATTGCATATTAGATGAGTTGTGTTAGTGTAAGCTACATTCAGTGATAAAGTAAGTATTATTGAGTGTATGGGGTTTTGAGTAGAGTTTAGTGCTCAAAATGTTATGATGTCGGTGTGTAAATCCGACTTACAATCTTGCTTTATACATGTTGTGTGTTTTACTTCCCCCTGTTTATTGATTATTCGAGTGGTATCTCGTCATTGATGTTGCATGCGTTCATTGTCGAATTGGTGAAGATATTGATATGTATCTGGACTTAAGTGTGTGAATTTTGAATTAGTTGATCGTCCCACACTATGGTGTTTTTTATTCAACTGAAGTTGAATCCTAATATTATGTGCCAAGGCATGCGTGACATTGGCCAATCATTTTTTTAGATTTTTTAGCCTAGTGGTGTGCATCATTCTAGCTCCAGGTAAATCCCCATGTTTTGAAAGCTTAATTGGCCCCGATCCACTTGTTTGTTCTCTGTGTTCAATCCACTAGTGATTACTTAGTAAATTATAATATTTTATTTAACTGTATCATTGATATTTCTAAGGAGAGAGTGTTTGATCGTTAAGTTTGTGAGTGATAAGTGTGGAGAACAAAAGTTGTGTTAAACTCAGTTATTTGCAATTACAGTTGAAGTTCGAAAATGTTTTAATATAATAGCACATTTGTGCGCAAAAATTATGGTTAGTCTGAAGGTAAAAGTGTTTACATTTGTGTTGATTTTACTTCATGAACTCTATACACTGTACTGTAATAATTTTTGAATAATTTTTCCTTCACGTTCCGCAGTGGAACATAGGGCCTCAAGCTAGTGGCTCGAAGTTTCTGTAGAAGTGTTTATTTTTACAGGATGGGGTTGCAAGCCTCATGCCCAACCTTTCTACTTTACCAGCATTATTTCTGGCTTAGCGAGGTAAAGGAGTGCATCTGTGGCCGGGGATCGAACCTCGGACCTTGTACATGATTGGTGAGCGTCCTAACCGCTGTGCCACCGACGCTCATACACTGTACTGTGATACTTAAATTTGTCCTGAAGGTTTGTCGGCCTATTATGTCAGTAGTGGTCTTTCTAAATGTCAATGTAGGGTGTATATGTAGACATCACTTATTTGCTTTTGCTTATGGTCTCGTAGTTCATTGGGGGAGAAATGTAAATCATTTTGTTCCCATTTCCTATCTAAAAATTGCTTGATTGTTTTATTTTCTGAGAATAACATATTGGGTCATTTGTATTACAAGAGATATATTCGTATTTTACACATATTTTAATCTGTAAGAACTATTTTAACTGTATGAAGGTCTACAAAACTAATATTTGACATTTTCTGTTTCAGTAATATGCGAATATAGTTAATCAGTGTTAGCATTATCTAGTTGTCTTTTTGTCTTAATCGATCAAATAAAGTATCGATTTTACTTTGAATTCGTTCGCAGTTTCTTGTTTTATGTGTGCATTCACAACTCAACAGAAAATAATTTTTCAAAGTAAACAAAAATGACTCGTTCAAGACGTTTTGAATCTCGAAGGGCTCGTGGAAGATATCATCAACGTCGCATATCAGATTCTCAGTCTTATAGATCTCATAGACACAGTAACCCTGAATTTGGACTGATTTCCTCAAATTGTAATCATTCAACAAATATGATGGGTGATGTTGCAACCAACAGACGGCGTTCATCCATGGCAGTGACATGTGCTCGTGATACTAGATTTGGGTCACACACAGGATGTTTACCTGTTACTGGGACTTTAGATAATTCTTTAAGACCAGTGAATCGGTCTTCAAATAGTACAAGAACATCATCTTCATCGTACCGAAGACGAACTTGCCCATCTCGTAGAGCATCTGTTATTGCACGAAAACGAGTCAGAAGCACTTCAATAAGTAAAACTCGCAGGTATTCCGCGAAACGGCGTCGCAATATTCGTCAAAGACGAGAAAAGCCTAGTCAAACGGGATCATTTTCAGTGCTTCAAAACCCTGTGTCAGGTAGTGGCGAACATGTCGAATCTTGTTCTACTAATCCAAGTCCTGATAACCTTCAGGAAGTGAACTCAAATGTTTGTAGTACTAATGAAGAAACTGAAGATGTTTCAAAGAATGTTTATTGTTCAACAGTAGGTGTCAACGAATCAATAACTAGACATCCCTTTTTATTACTATCTTCTCAATGTAAACGAAGTCTACCTACGTTAAAATCTAATTTTATTTCACAAACAAGTCCACGAAAACAAACAACTGATCAGCCTTTACAAAGAGCTTCTTGGCCAACAAATTCAGTGTCTTATTATGATTCACTAAATAGTACATGTCCAAATATAACCTCTAATAATATGATAACTGGTGGGAATGAACTTTCAAATAATGAGGACTGTGCAAAAGAGCGTAAACTACGTGAAAGTGATAATAATATTATTGATTGTGCTGTTGTTTCAGGTGTTGAACAAGGCCTAAACCAACTCTCTCATGAGTTTGTAAATGAGACTGCTGAAATGAACAATGCCAATGTTATATCAGAGGATGATGATCCTTATTTCTCATCGTACTCTACTACAAATGATTCTTTTTCATAACTGAGCACAAGATAGATAGTGGCTATTATCTCTTTTCTTTTATTCTATCTGTGATTGAGAAAGCTGCTTGCTTTTCTGGCTTTATTTTGTGAATAGGAGATAATTATCTTCATTTGATGGATCTACGTTCAAATGCATATTGATTAAATTCAACCAATCGAAATGGTTAAAAAATATTCCTCGAACCATTTTATCAATTATCATATCTGTAATACAGTTAATCGATCAAACGCATTTACGATTTTTGCTTTTTATATTTCGATGGGTTTGGGGTATTGTCTATGTAGTAGTTATTGCCGGTTTTTGCTTAGTCTTAGAAAATGAACTTCCGGAATCACTTGTTTTCTGTGGTTTTTGTGACTTGAAGATTAGTAAATGCTTGATTTTCATACCTGTCCGTTACTGGTCCTGTTTCTTTTTACACTAAGAATGTACGCGTAGAATATATCTATGTGCTATGGCTTGATGTCCTGTAGTAACTAAACGATGGACTAATCGACTCATGACTGTGTATACATAGGTGCATCACTTCCGGCCATCGTACTTGGAATATCATACATAAAAGAAAAGAACAGTAGAGGGATACGAGCGTGAAATTAGGAATAGACAGTCTTTTTGTATGTTTGTTGAGATTTCGCCAAAAGTCAGGGCTGATATAACTTATGAAATAACTGCAGTGGTCCACACATTTCATTCTTTAAGGTTGGAATTGATGCAGACTAGTACTGCATTGGTAGAGGGCAGATTAGATACCGAACATACTCAGATATTTGCTCAAAGTATTTAGAAGACTGCATTTTGTCATCTTCCTTTGCAATAGATCGTACTCGACAGCCTTATAAGAAAATTGGCTTATGTCAAAAATGTGAGAGGTTAGTGATTACAGAAAATATATATTCAGTTGTTATACTCCCTGTATTAATCTAAACTGGTTGGCTTTATTAATGATTTTTTGTGTTGTGATGTTTCATTAAATCTTTATCACCTCTTCTCTAATTTTTATCACATTCGGCAGAGAATAAGGCGTAAATATACAACATTTATTCAAAAACAATTCGCTGTTCATATTAAAGCCACTAGAAGGGCCTATATTATTCACCATCTGTTTTCATTTCATCCATTTTCACGATTCATATTGTTCTGGCCTCACTTTTTAATTCGTTGATGTGGCATACACATGCGCCTTATCTTGAATGTAGCTTTTATTTATGTGAGGCTGTACAGTTATACTTGTCTATTTTATTTTTTTTTTTTGCTATTAACATTTTAATCAGGTACTTTATACTTTGGAAATCGGTTCTGTTGAAACTACCGCGGAAAATTTAACTGAATTAGAGGATGGAATATCAGCGGCATCATCTTGTAGAAAAATGGGCATCGTTTCAGTTGGTGAATTTTTACTGACATCTCCATGTCTACTGTTCGCTCTGGGTTCTTTTTCAAGAAAGACCGGAATTGATCTTGGTTAGTTGTCCCTTATTTATCTAATAATAAATCCTCGGGATTTATAGTTTAATGTTTAATATATTTTAATATAGTTTAACTATGTTATTCCTATGTCAACAGCCATCAGTTCACTTAATCCTACTTATCAAACAATGCTACTAATGTGGCACGCGCTACTGATAAGATTTACCGGTAGTATATAAAGATGTTCATCGGCAAAAAATATCATATAACAGAGAGATAGATTTAAGGTTAAAGAAAGCAAATGAACCAGCTTTGCGGCAAAACATGGTGGTCGCGAAAAGAAGACAAAGAAACTCAATATGAAAGGAAGAAGTTGTACAACACGGAAGATCTGTGCAAATGACAGTTTTCAAATAAGGTGTGCATAATTGCCAATTTCCAAATAAACATTTCGTTACCATGTCTCTTGTCTTCTGCCATTACATTACTCATTGCAAAACCGGTCTAAACTTTTGCCAACCATTGTACCGACTTATCTGTGAGAGATGCTAAAAATGCTATCAATCGGCAAATAATAATAATATATGCTGAAGAGACAGCAGTTCGTAGGATCAGGCCTCCCCTGTGTGTATGGAAACAATCTGTTGTTACACTTCCATTAACCGATTGAGATTAATTATTCATCTTAGAATATTTGACTAAAGTGCGTCAGTTGAATTTGTCAATTCCACATAGAGCAAAAAAGGTAGATAAAAAAATGCGTTTGAACTTTAATGAACAGAAATGTATGGAAGAATAAGTAAGAACATAGGGAATAATGATATTCGTTGTGTCCAAGAGTTCATAAAGGGTGAATGCATTTGCATCATTAAGAACGATTTCCAACCATGTTACCAGCAGTCTACAGCTATTGTTTCCTAGCGTCGTGAGAAACCATACCAGACTGTGCACTTTCTTACATGGCTCAAACCAGCAGTCAAAAGCTTCATGAACTGATGTCATTACGAAAATGTTCCGTGGCAATCTGTAAGTCTCTGAAATAGAATAGCTGTGCATGCATTAGTATATCTACGATGAAACTAAACAAGAATAAAGACATCAGGTGTCTCTGATGGTTACCTGTGGTTATCATCACTTCAGGTGACAAATCTCCATGAACCCTTAAATGGCTGTGTGATTGTGGGTACAGTGCATTGATTAGTGTGATATCCTTTTCGACACTCCTTTCACGGCCAGATATGGCAAGTGTTGCACGCCAGTAAGTATTCGTATATTCTAGAATCTGTTGAAATATGAAGATATAGCCAGTACACTCTCTTCCTGGCCTAAACCATCCCTAGTATGTATGGCTAGTATGTGTTACGCATACTAACCCACCTCAAACTTTGACAAGGAAATTTCTGGTGATATGGGAGGACAGACCAAAACATATCACCAGGCCATTTAGTCCATGCCTATTAGTTTGGTGTACACAGATAAGTCTAGACTAGCCGATTGAGATCGTTGAGATGCTAAGAATCAATGACTGGATACTGGACATGGCTAAGAATCGTTAAAAATAGCGCGGATGCATTCATTACTCTTCGTTTTCATGATTTTGGAAATTCTCACTAAATTACAACTAATTATTCTTTCTGTTGTAATTTTTCGTTTATTTTAGTTTAATTATGCTTTTTCAGTTTACTTTCTATGTGTTGTAATTCCAGCCGATGGAAATTTGTATCATGATAAAGTACTCAGTCAACAACTTCGGTTAATCTTTATTTGATTATATTACTGAGAGTAGTGCTCATTATTATCTCAAGCAGGTTATCTACACTCTTTACGCGATTCATACCAAAAGTCGGTTACCAACAGCTAGAACTTAAGAAAATCTTAACTATAATTTACGCCTACCCTTCGAATTAATTTTATTCATTGTAGAAACTGAACAGATATGTGGTTATCCGTCTGTAATTTTTTTATTTTCAAGGACCATGCACATGGTCCGACGTTCGATCCCCTGCTGACGCACACCTGATATCTATAGTCGGCCTGCAAGTTTGGGCTACCGATATTTTTTTTCCTTCACGTCCCCCAGTGGAACATAGGGCCTCAAGCTAGTGGCTTGAAGTTTCTGTAGAAGTGTTTATTTTACAGGATAGGGTTTCTAGGCTCATGCCCAACCTTTCCTCTTTGCCAGCGTTATTTCTGGCTTAGCGAGGTAAAGGAGTGCATCTGTGGCCGGGAATCGAACCCTGGACCATGTGCATCGTCGGCGAGCGTCCTAACCGCTATACCACCGATGCTGAAAATTCCATACTTGTACCGAAAATACAGTGTTGAATCAAGATGTAAATCAAAAATCAAAATATCAAAATTATTGTTTCCTTCCAAACCAATTTTATCTTACCCAAAAATATGACATGACACATACCCCTCAAATGACTGGTGTTTACAACTCTATTGATTTGCTTGTCTGTTTTGTCTGTTATTTCATTTTATCTCTCCACTCTTCACATAACAGTTCTTCTGAAATTGAGCCAGTTAGTGAAGATATTATTGGCTGGATACTTGTTCGACAGTATTACAGTACAAGTACAAATAATTGTTTAATGTTGAACATCTGGTTTCTGCTATAAGCTAGCGAAATCCGTATGAACATTGCATTCAGCTCTGACCGTATATAAAAAAAACTTAATAGTGTCTTTTTCCATTTTTGAATATTCCAGTTTCCGCCTTCAATGGGAGAAACGGTTCCCAAAAAGTAGTGATGGACCAAATATGTGTGGATATTCATATTGTTCATAGTCGGTAAGTGGTATATTTAAAGAATTTCATTTTTGGAATTACATGAAGAAATTGCACTTGTTACTGAATCCAGGATGCACCTAATCAAATTGTCATCTGAACTAAGAACTCCCAAAAACATAAGTTTCAATAATAGATTGCTTAATATCTTAGGTGTTAATTCTGAGATGTCGAAGAGAATGTTTTAGTGACTAGTCTAACTATGACATTTCTGCATATGATTTATATTTTATCACTTATTTAATTTCACTTTTTCCTGATTGGTTCAGGTGTTTTAATAACGTAACATGTTGTGTTAAGTCGGGTCTATTCTCTATGACCACTTACTATTGTTATTAGTGTTTTTACAGAACAGTCGCAGTTAACTGGTCTACAACCCTTTGATTCATCTATTTAGGGAGGAATTCTAACTTACCGGATCTTTCTGATTGTCCTCTTTACGTTTACACTTATCAGATCATATTTCCCACAATCGTTCCTTCGTTACTGACTTTTAAATCACTGGTGGGTCCAATGGATGTTGTTAAATGAAATCAATGATGATGGCCCTTTTTATTTTCATCACTTAACTTCCATTTCCCCTTCTGACATTGTTTGGGAAGTTGTTGCATATTTTCAGTTCGTGGTCATCGACTAGTTTGGATATTTGTAATATTTTTTTAATATATTTCTTCATGGTGTAGATAAGATTTAACAACTAACAACAATGTACCCAGCTACAGATACTTCATAAATATATGAATATTCACACATAGTATGGTGCATCATACTCAGTTCATGTATTATGCCTTATTTAGCGGCATATTTCGGCGTAAGCAATCTGTGCGTCGGAGGCACAGTGGTTAGGACTCTCACTGACCATGAGCATGGTCCGGAGTTCTACCCGTGCCTAACGCACACCTGATATCAGTGGTTGGCCTGCTAAATTTGGGCTACCGGTATCACATGCTGAAAATTCCATAGTTGCACCAAAATACCGTGTGGAATGAAGTTATAATAACATAAATAAATAAATAATTTTTCCTCGGGTTCTGAGTAGAACATAGGGTTTCATTTCGACTTTATTCTATTTACCGCGATCCTCGTCAATTGGGTCCATGATTGCCCATAATCTGTCATCTCCTCGCACGATCTGTATATGACCCTACAATGACCCACTCGTCGCTTCCCATTGGGATTCCACTCGAGCGATGGCCTGCATTGCACGTGACGTCATTTGACGACCTCGACGTATACCC